TTCTGTATTCTGGATATGAGTACTGTGTCAGAAACGTTTATTGCAAATATCTTCTTGGTAGCTTATCTTTTTACTCTCATGATGATGTCCTTTTTTTTTTTTTTAAAGATTTTTTTTTTTTTTCTCCCCAAAGCCCCCTGGTACACAGTTGTATATTCTTCGTTGTGGGTCCTTCTAGTTGTGGCATGTGGGACGCTGCCTCAGCGTGGTTTGATGCGCAGTGCCGTGTCCGCGCCCAGGATTCGAACCAATGAAATACTGGGCTGCCTGCAGCGGAGCACGTGAACTTAACCACTTGGCCACGGGGCCAGCCCCTGATGATGTCTTTTGATGAACAGAGGTTCTTAATTGTAATATAGAACAGGGATCAATAAACTTGTTCTGTAAAAGGCCAGACAGTAAATACACAGTCTCTGCTGCAACGTTTGCAACAGTTGTGTGAAAGTAACCACATACGATGAGCATGGCCTTTTTCCAGTAGAACTTAGTTTACAAAACAGCAGCTGGCTGGATTTGGCCTGGGTCGTAGTTAGTCAGTCTCTCACATAGAGTAACTTATAAAAATTTTTCTTTATGGTTAATGCTTTTTGTGCCCTTTTAAAGAAATCTTTGCCTACTCCAGAGTCATAAATGTCTTCTACTGTGTTTTCTTCTAAAAGCTTTATTTTATCTTCCACAGTTATAAGTATAACCCATCCAGAATTGATCTTTGTATTATGTGAGGGTAGGGGTCAGGATTCTTTTTCTTTTTTGCTTTTAAATGTGCATTTCCAGCTCTGCTTTTTACATTATGATGTGTAACATTTTCATTATCCTTTAGTTCTAAATTATTTTCCAAATTCTATTTTGACTTCATCTTCAGTCCTTATGTTATTATTTCAAAAGACAATTGGAATGACTGGTTATTTCTTATAAATTCTTAATTTTATTACATTAAGTAAAGAACTTTTTGTTTTTTGCTGAGAAAAATTTGCCCTGAGCCAACACCTTTTGCCACTCTTCTCTATTTTCTATGTCAGCTGCTGTCACAGCATGCCCACTGGTAGACGAGTGGTGTAGGTTGGCACCCGGGAATCAACCCTGGGCCACCAAAGTGGAGTGCACCAAACCTAACCATTAGGCCACCGGGGCTGGCTCAGGAACATGTTTTAATATTCTTTGTAACTTAGTGAGATTATTGATGTTGAGAAATCAATTAGTATAGTTGTTGAGTTTTTAAAGTACTCTTCTTTTTTCTGGTTCCTTTTAAGATGTCTTTGTTTTTGCTGTTATGCAATTGTACTATATTGTGTATCTTTTTTGTTAGTGCCGTTGAGTTGATTCCGACTGCTAGCGATCCTGTGAACAGGATAGTGGAACCCTGCCTAGTTTTTGTTTTTGTTTGTTTTTTTGTGCCATCCTCTCACCTTCCAGTGCTATATCAGACAATGTTCCACTGCTATTCATAGGGTTTTCATGGCCAGTTTTCTCAGAAGTGGGTGGCCTTCTTCCTAGTCTGTCTTAGTCTGGAAGTTCTGTTGAAACCTGTCCACCAGGGGTGACCCTGTTGGTATTTGAAATAGCGATGGCATAGCTTCCAGCATCACAGCAACACACAGCCAGCACATTATGACAACTGACAGGTGGGTGGTGTGATTCCTTGATGGGGAAATGAAACTTGGACTACAGTGGTTGAGAGCACCATATCTTTACCACTAGACCATGAGTCTGGCATAGTGTGTCTAGGTGTAGGTTATTTTAGATATTTCTAATATATTCCTCAGAACTGTGGTGTTTCTTGAAGCTGAGGATTCATATCCTTTACAGTTTCTGGGGAATTTTAGCTTTTATTCTTCTGTGTCTAGTTGTCTAATCTCCTCTATATCCTGACAGTTGTGCTCTTACTTTCATTGGATGTTGTTTGTTCTAGGAGTTATATATATATATTTTTCAAGTCTTTCTCTCTCTTTACTGTCTTTAATCATTTTATATATTCTAATTTTAGAAGGCCTATTGTATTTTTTCTATTATCTGAAACTGTTAGGATTCTAATCTTGCTGTTTGTTTTGTCTCTTGACTTAAAAATACTTATGTTTTTTCTTTGTGTGTTTGAATTTTGGCCTGTCAGCTCTCCTTCAGTGGAACTTTATCTGGGAATCCTGTTGGACTGGGTTGAGAATTTGTTCTTTAAAGCACTGCAGAGGGGGGCTGGCCCCGTGGCCGAGTGGTTAAGTTCGAGTGCTCCGCTGCAGGCGGCCCATTGTTTCGTTGGTTCGAATCCTGGGCGTGGACATGGCACCGCTCATCAAGCCACACTGAGGCAGTGTCCCACATGCCACAACTAGAAGGACCCACAACGAAGAATATACAACTGTGTGCTGGGGGGCTTTGGGGAGAAAAAGGAAAAAAATAAAATCTTTAAAAAAAAAAAAAAAAAGGTTGGAATTAAAAAAAAAAAAAAAAGCACTGCAGAGGACCTGCCAAATTTAGGACCAAATCTTATGTTAATTTGGCATGGGGTTCCTACACTAAGTGGTTAGCGTAAATTCCAAATTCAAGTTATCTTGGGATAGAAGCTTCTTTTCCTCCTTAGTGGCTGGCAGATATTTTTTCTAGCTCATCCTTTCCCTAATGGTGCAACCTATTGACACCCCTGGCTTTAGATGTGTGTGTGGTGGGTAATTTTTCTTAGTTCTGACGTCCTCCCTTGCTTAGGTCCATGGTCTCATGTCCTGTCCTTGCATAGACAGTAAAACCATACCCTTGAGATTATCAAGGTTGGTGTTACTTGCCTATTTAATCTCCTATTATACCTGTCCTCATTAGACCCTACAGTCATTTTTTACTTCACAGATTCGCATTTTGACTTTTAGTTTGATTTTTTTTTTCCTTTTTGATTTTTGCACCTGGGGATTTTCTTTCTTTCTAGAAATTCAGCTACACATTTAAAATAACGTCTATTATATTTTATCTAACATATTTGTAGTGGTAGAGTTTTCTGTTTATTTAGTCTGCTGTATTGCTGGAGCCAGCAGCACTTTCTTATCTGTAAAATGGAGCGAAAAAGAGTCAACTTTGTAGGATTGTTGTAAGGAGTAAATGAGGTAATAGATGTAAAGTGCCTCATAGTAAATTCTCAGTAATTGGTAACAATGATAATACTTTTTGTTCTCCCCAAGAAGAAAAATACTACAGCAGTGATTACCTACGCTTAGAGGTGCTAATTACATGACTATTAATTTCTCTTATAAAATTGGGAATTATTTCTAGAAGACACTACTTTAATTTCAAAGTTAAAATACACAAATTTATGGAGTATTTGACTGTCATCAAACTTTGTGATGTAAAATGCTTCTGGAGTCTAAGTGACGTGTTTTTTCCCATAGCTGTTTTCAAGGTGTGAAGATGACTTTGTGATTTCCTGTGAACTTTCTTGGTTTCGTGGACATACTCAGTTTCTGCTCCTTGATTCACCTTCTCACATCCACTTTCTGGCATAGTCATTTATTGGGTAATAGACCAAAACACAGCATTATAAATGTGTACATTCTACCCACACAGACATACAAAGAGTGAAAACCAGTTGTTAGCACTATCTTGTCTTTAATGAATAAGTCAAAGAAATAAGGACACTATGATACAAACTTACAGCACTTTTAAGTATTGCAGTTAGATTTATCTTTCCTTGGTTTCATTCAGCTCAGCAGAATTTTAGGTGAGCTATAAATAGGTGAGGTGAGACCACTTATATACATCCAGAATAAGATTAGATTAAATTTCCAGTTTAGCCAGAGACAGAACAGCTTATCACACAGCTGGGAATAGAAGCAGCCTGTTAGAGCTGTCCCAGACTCCCAGAGGCTCTAATTGGGGTGTGCGGCTGCTGGGCTAATTCACACAGGGCAGGATCTCGCTGGCTCTGGAAAGCTCAAATTTTGCTACCCTATTGCTCTTTTATTCTTTAGGTTTTTTAATACTGATCAAGAGGAATTTACTCTTAATAATCTGTGCTTCTCCTTTAGGGAATGTTTAAAAAATGAGCCCTTGTATTTGAACCACATCCAGTGTGAGGTAGACCAAGGCCTAACTTTTATACGTTTTAAAAATCAAATTTTAAATTTACCAGTGGAATTTGTAGTGCACTCATCCCTCAGTATCTGAGAGGGATTGCTTCCGGGACCCTGTGGATACCAAAATCTGGGGATGCTCAAGGCCCTTATATAAAATGGCATAGTATTTGCATATAACCTGTGCACATCCTCCCATATACTTGAAATCATCTCTGGATTACTTATAATACCTAATGCAGTGTAAATGCTGTGTAAATAGTTGTTATACTATATTGTTTAGGGAATAACGACCAGAAGAAAAGTCTGTACGTGTTCAGTACAGACACAACTATTCTTTCAATTCAAGGTTGGTCGAATCTGCGGATGCAGAACCTGCAGATATGGAGGGCTGACTGTATATCAATATTTTGTCCATTAGTGTTTCCTGTTGAAACTTTTTGATCGTTTGTAAATCTTGTTTTTCACAGACTGTTTACTTAAAGGGTAATATGTCAGTTGAATTCAAAAACAAATATTTTTTTATCCACTTTTAGAAAAATTTATTTTGTGTGTGTGTGTATGAGAAAGATTGGCCTTGAGCTAACATCTCTTGCCAGTCTTCCTCCTTTTGCTTGAGGAAGATGGTCCTTGAGCTAACATCTGTGCCAGTCTCCCTCTACTTTGTATGTGGGATGCTGCCACAGCGTGGATTGATGATGGGTGTGTAGGTCTGCACCCAGGATCTGAACCAGTGAACCCTGGGCCGCTGCAGTGGAGTGTGCAAACTTAACCACTATGCCACCAGGTTGGCCCTGGAAAAGTTCTTTATATCTCAATTTGTTCCAGAAAATATTTAAGGAGGTTATTAAATTAGCAGTTGTTTATATCTTTGAGTTTATAAAACTTAGAATACAGGTATGAATAATTTTGTCAGAACTTTTGCTTTTCTCATGTGTAACGTATCATTTTTAGGCAAAATGTTTCATGGATTTCAAAGCTGGAGGCACCTTGTGTCACATTCTTGGGGCTGCTTACAAGTATAAAAATGAACAGGGATGGTAAGTTTTTGTATTTATTTGCATGTTTTGATGTAATATTTAGGTTAGTCAATGTTGAAGCCTGTTCTTTCTTTGTAATGGTGTTAGAGAATTCTATAATTCTCTCTCTTTACATATATATAATAGAATTTTATTTGTAATTCACTATAATGCCTGATTGTTTCTCTGTTTGTAATGGACACATCTTGATGCTCAGTGCCTAGAGTCACCCTATCATTACAACTTTACCAACAGACAGTATTCTAATTTTGAAAAAATTAGACTGTAGATATTCTGATGTGTATATATAAGTCATTTTTATTTAGATTATTCCTTGTTAAAGACTGTTATTTTCTCATTGCTTCTTTATTTCTTAGCTGGAATACTTTCCTAAAGAGAAATTTTACTTGTCAGCAGTTGAAAAGGCAGAATAAATTCTTGATTCTCTGTTAACAGATTCATTTAGGTTTTAATCTTCATTTGCAGAAAAATCCAGGCAGCCCTGTTTTAATTTGTTTAATGACTGCTTTCAAACTATTTCTCAGCTTTCTAATAGAGATAATTCCCTTCAGTCCCATTATCTGTATTGTTTATTAATGAAGCAGTTTCTCCATAAATAATGAGTAAACTCTTATGTAAGCAGTTCTCTAAGTGATGTGTTTCTGGATATACTTCTTCAGTTATCATAAGCCTGTGAAAGAGTGCCTCCTTCTTTAGAATAAAGGGGAGACACTGACACGTCTCTCCTTTTATTGTGCTGAAGGAACCAGTGGAAGGCTGTCAGCTATAATAGGCTTGTCCCAGTTAGTCAGCTCGTAATCTGTTGTCCTGTCAGTTAATGGAAGTTGCTTGGAATTTCTACCCTACTCCTTCTTCAGAAGAGTTTAGGGAAGGAGGATACTCAAAAAAACAAAAGAATGGGATTTAAGGAAAAGTTCTGTGTATCAAGGTTACATCAAGATATGGTTACTCAAGATGGAGGGGACGTCCCGCTTATCTATAAAGGCTATGTTTAAAGCTGTAACTAGTTCTATTCTAAATTACCTATTTCTATGCTTTAGTGCACACTTAATTTCTTAATTGATACTACTTTTTAGGAACCATTTCAGTCTTGTCCTAGCACAGTAATGAAAAAGTCTTACTAAGTATTAGACCTCAGTCATAATAAATATTAATTTATTGAATGATTTGCTTTATAAAGCCACACATTCTGTTAGCCACTAGGGCTACTTAGGAAAATTTTCAAAAAATTTAGTTCTTGTCCTCAAGTCATCTAATGAGATGTCTCACCAACTAGATGATTCTGTTGTAGAGATGTAACAGCACTGTGCACAGGATGTATTAGGAACATGCGAGAAGACAGGAATAGCTTCATAGAGGAAGTGACTTTTGGATTGATTCTGGAAGTGATTGTATCAGGCCCATTGAGTAGGTGGTGACATCCTGGAAAGGCTACAGAATTTAGAAAGGTTGGAGGTGTGGGGAGCATCTCCAGGATAAAACAGAGTTAAGAGCATGAGTTCTGGACTCAGACTGTGTAATCCTAGCTAGTACGTGGTACTAATGATTTAAAAAAATATAGCCACAGTTAACATTTATTGATCACTTAAGAACAAGCTAAGCATAAACCCCATGCTAAGTTCTTAACATATATCCCTCATTTAACCTTCAGAAAACTCCACAGTGGGCCATTGTACTCATGAGGAAATTGATCCTTGGATTAGTAAATCACTCAAGACTACATAAATAAAGATGGGGTCAGGATTAGAATGCAAAGCAGTTGGATGCCACAGCTCACACTCTAAATCGCTAAGCTTAGCTTCTCTCCCTGGGATTAAAATGGAGCAAAAGCAAAGTAAGCATTGAATAAAAAGTAAGGAGAAAGAAGCATTCACATTTGTAAAGATTAAACCATGTGAAAACAACTAAGAAAAGGTGAAGACAACGCCAGAATGTTTTGCTTGAGTATTTATATAAAGAGGCATTGGGGAAAGATTTCAAGTTGAGGTATAAATAGATGAATTTTACCACATTTAGGACAATAGTTAGCTCAAAGAGAATAGGCACTGTTGAATTTGAACAAATGACTTTTAAGCATATATACAGTAGATAGACTTTCCTTATACTTGAAGAATGGTCTTCTAGTTCACTGCCTTTGGATCTGTGGACTACTTTCTATATGTTGTATAATATCTTAGATTTGAGGAAAATGGGATAGATCATGGAATTGGTACCTCATTTTGACTGGAGTGGATCTTAATGTCATAAAATTTAATGTTTTATGAAGTTGTTGGTGCTGTGCTTTCATATACTACTGAGAGAATACTCTCATACATTTTCTGGAGTGCTAATAAATTTCCAGATCTTTCCAGCTTATTTCCATTCAGTGCTAAAACCAAGTTTTCACTTTTGTTTAAGATGGGGAACGAGTTGATTTTTCTTCTCTTTTAGGCGGAGGTTTGATCTTCAGAATCCATCCCGAATGGATCGTAATGTTGAAATGTTTATGAACATTGAAAAAACATTGGTGCAGGTAATTCAGAAAGTTAGATTATTAAGAAAATTTTTCCTTTAAAATACATTCAGTTCTAAGATTGGCTTTATTAGATTGCCAAAAGATCAAAGGAAGAAAAGTTTTTCTGAACACTGTTGTTCTATTATTTTTATGGGTTTTGGGGATTAGAGCTATAAAGACTAAAAATCATTTATGGAATATCGATCTTAATCTTCTGGTGAAGTAATCTAGGATATTTTTCTTTATTAATTTCACCTAATCCATTATTTGAATCTTTTTCCTATTTAATATAAACACTCTCATTCTACTAGTCACTTTTTTATATATTCTTTTTTTTGGATTTGTTTCATGGTTGTACCATAAATATAGTTCTTATTTCTCCATCTAGATTATAACCTGAAGGAGAGAACACTTAATTTTCATCTTTTCTGTCCTAGTATTTTTATTGATTGATGATTTTTAGTGATCTCTAAATTAACCTTCCTGGGGAGAGGCAGCTGGCAAAAATTGAGCTAGGTATTATCATTAACTTAATGCCTGAAACTTGTCTCATGGATTATTAACTAGAGAAGTAACTGAATGTTGTTTTGTTTGTTGGTTGATTTTTGGTGATGGTTTTGGGAGTTAATATTCATGTTTTAATCATTGCTATTTATAGGATTAGAAATGGGAAAAAAGAACTATAATCCAGTCTTTATTTTATAAGTAACTTACATAATGACCCAAAATGGGCATCCCTTTTCCCTCTCCCCCCAAAATGAAAAGTGTGGGTGAAAACACTACATTATGCTTAGACTGTCAAGGTAGGTTCACGTAAAATTGGCTAGGGGGATTAATATGTCGTTATGGTACCTTAATGAAAAAGGTGGTGAATTTCTTTAGGTCATGAGTCTAGCAGTTTTTTGTCCAGGTGTACCTAGCTGTAGAGAAGAGTTCTGCAGATGGCATTAACACCTGCTAAACATCTGGGTTTTATATTGAGATAAGATTTTTACAGTCTATACCAAACTACGTCTTCCCATTTAAGCAGTACGGCTTTGAATGCTAACTGTTGCCATTAGGGTAATATATAAATAATGTGACATTATTTCAAAACCAAGAGAATTTCAAAATCTATTCTTTCTTCCTCAGAGCAATTGTCTGACCAGACCCAACATCTACCTCATTCCAGACATTGATCTGAAGTTGGCTAACAAATTGAAAGATATCATCAAACGACATCAGGTAACAGACATGATCACTTTGGAAACCTTGTGTAGTAGAAGCTTCTTATAAATTTCAACCGTAGTACCTTTTGATTTCTGGATACATCTGTATTAAATGAAAGTTATCTCTCTTTGGATTCTTACAGTACCCAGTTGTTTTCTCTCCACTCACCTCCAATTGTTAGACTGGAGTAGCATTCCTCCCGTACCCCAGCATTATTAAGATATAACTGACACATAGCATTGTGTAAGTTTAAAGTTTACAATGTGATGATTTGATGCATGTATACATCCTAGAGTAGCATTTAATAAAGTCATTGATACGCAGTCATCACAGTCTTACTGTGAAATGCGCTTATGTAGTGTTAAAGAGACCAGTGTATTCTGCATTAATGTGATGAAAAAGTCAAAGAATGAGATTTGGTGACAGAATTGTGGTAGGAGGAGATCAAACATTACTTCAAATAAAGCTACTCCTCCCTCCATTATATGTATTGTATTTATATATATGCCTTTTAAAAAATGACTGGAAAATTCTGTTTTTGTTTTCCCCATAAGCTTACTTTGTCTTGATTCACATGTACCAGTGCTATCTTCTGAGATCTTTACCTCCTGCCTCTAACTTCATTTTAGGCTGAGACCTTGGGTATTTACTGCATGTAGGTTTGTAACTACATGTGGCTAAATTGTAAGCAAACCCATGTCATGTTAAACTAGCTGTGGAGAATTTTCTGAAACAACATCATTTAAGTGATAAAGTTTTACCAATCCTTAGGATTAATTGAGAAACCTCATGAAATATCTTTGTTTTTTCTGCTACAAGAGAGATTGCTGGTTGAATTATATTTTAGCATTTAGTAACATATCTTTCCAGGTTCCTAAAGCAAAGGTCTCTAATACTGCTTACAGTTGGAGATTTAGTAGTCTTTTTCTTATATATAACATCCCTGCCGGAAAGAAAGATAATATGATTGTGCTGTCAGATCAGACAGTCTAAAGTTGAATTCCCTTTTTCACTAGCATTATGACTAAACAAATTTCTTAACCTTTTTTTCTCTTTTGGATGGTTTGCATATTGGAGTGGCTGTCAGGTAACTTAATTACGTGTGGAATGTTAAAGGGCAGGAATTGAACAAATTAACCTGATAGTTATTGCCTTCAAGCTGAAATTATGTACTCTTCTTGCTACCAAACCATCCTGGAAAAAGTTTATATATTTTCCTATAATTTTTACTGAACATTTAGCTGTCATATTTCTTTTCTTTTTTTTTTTTTAAAGATTGGCACCTGAGCTAACATCTGTTGCCAGTGTTTTTTTTTCCTGCTTCTCCCTGAAGCCCCCTGGTACATAGTTGTATTTTCTAGTTGTGAGTGCCTCTGGTTGTGCTATGTGGGATGCTGCTTCAATGTGACCTGATGAGTGGTGCCATGTCCACGCCTGGGATCCGAACCGGCAAAACCCTGCGCTGTCGAAGCGGAATGCGCCAACTCAACCACTTGGCCATGGGGCCGGCCCCTAGATGTCATATTTCTTAAGAAATCTGAGTTAGTAGTTGTTTTCTAGGGATAACTACAAGAGGGATGTAAGGATCTTCCTGGTTTCATAGAATCTTGGAGAAGAGACCTTAAGGTCTAACTACAGTGTCGTTTTTTTTTAATTTTTAATTTTTAATTTATTTATGTTTTTGAGGAAGATTAGCCCTGAGCTAACATCTGCTGCCAATCCTCCTCTTTTTGCTAAGGAAGACTGGCCCTGAGCTAACATCCGTGTCCATCTTCCTCTACTTTATATGTGGGACGCCTGCCACAGCATGGCTTGCCAAGCGGTGCCATGTCTGCACCTGGGACCCGAACCAGCGAACCCCAGGCCACCGAAGTGGAATGTGCACACTTAACTGTGGCGCCACCGTGCGGGCCCCTACAGTATCGTTATTGAATACTAGTGATCAGGCCTTTGCTCAAACAGTTAAAATGCATTAATAACTCCATTGATTGAGCACTTACAGTATACTTGTCACTATTCTTCGCTCATTGCATCTGTTAACTTAGTTCTAGCAAAATTCTTGTGAAATTGGTGTTATTGTTACCACTCTATTTCACAGAAGATGCTGAAGCACAAAAACCTTACAAACACTTGTCCCATAGCACACAATTAGTAAATAGTAAAGCTGAGGTTCAAGCCCAGGCCTGTCTGATGGACTCCAGAGGCCAAAATCCTGAACAGTGTGCTCACACTCATTAGATGTTGACATCCCCTTTTCAGCCTCTCTTGTGGCTGTTCAAAAGTGTACTCAAACACTTCTAGTGATTGAGAATACCTTGCCTTATTTGGTATTTAATTCATCATTAGATAGCTAGCCCTAAATTTTAGAATTTTCTTCCAGTTGAAATAGCATTATTATGTTTTTCTGATTGTAACAATTAGTAAAATACTCATTGTCAAAGACAAAATTCGGGAAATACATTAAGGTGCTACTCAAACTGATTTTAAGACTTCTCATCATTCTTACTGTCTCTGGAATGAACGCTTTTGTGTCTAAATGGCTTCTAAGTCATGTTCTACACTGTATGCAGTGTTCTAGCTGTGGCTTAGCTAAAGCTTCACTTTAGTGTTTATTTCATCCACTATTCTAACATTGACTTAAAACGACAGTTGCACACATGCATGCTAGAGCCAAGTCAAGTATCCATGCCATATGTATGTAGCCCTAGGTTATAGTTTACGGCCATAAACCTGCATTGATTCACTTCAGTTAATAATGATAATTTGTGACAACTTTGAAGTAACTTTTAGAATCAGTTAGAGGTACTCATGTTACTGATAAGATTACCCAGACAGAGATACATAGAGCATTACCTAAGAGGTACTTGTATTATTTTTCTATACAACAGTATAAACTGTGTCTATACATTATTTATTTTTGTTTTTTCTTGTTAATCACTGTCCCTTTCCTTGACTAAAAATAATAAATATAATCCTAAATAATACTCTTAAAATATAATAAGTAAAATAATGCCTTTAATAATTTTTAGGCATCGGGCACCTCATAGTTTGTTTGCCATGTGCTTTATTTTTACATTATTTGTTCATTTGCTTTCCAGGGGACATTTACTGATGAGAAGTCAAAAGCTTCCCACCACATTTATCCATATCCTTCCTCACAAGAGGATGGTAAGTTAGTTTTTGGTATGAACTGATAAACTCATACTTAAGTAGATTTTAAGTTATATCAGCAGAGGTTTAAACAATATAACTAGCTTCTTAAACGAGTCTGTCAAATATTAAATAAATTGCACAGATTATTTAAATTTATAGTTTCCTGATTTTTTTGCTGAATTGGGTTCAGCAAACCAATTCTGTGATGTTCAACTTTCTGATCTTTAGACTTTTCTTTCTTTGTTGGTAATCATTATCTGGTTGGTATTCTAGGCATGCGTTATGCATTAACTTGTTAATGTTTGCTATGTTGCTTGTGCTCAGAAAATTAAGAGACAGTGCAAGATAGAAGAACATCTCTGGGGAAGATAGACTTACAGGCTCTCTAAACAGGGCTTCTCAGCAGTATATTAGATTGGCTATTTTATAATGGTTCAGATTTTGATCTTTAACTCTTCTATCCTAAAAGTTGATTTTTGTCCGTGACCAGCGTTTGTTAGACCTATGGAAACTGATTTGTGCTAACCAGTCTTTCAAAAGTTGGAAAGTTGGGAAACAAAATATGAATTAATTAATTAACCAAACAGATGGGTGGTGTGGTTCCACAACTGGGAAATGAACCTGGGCTGTGGTGGTGATAGCGCTGAATCCTAACCACTAGATCACTAGGCCTGGCTCAAGAACATTAAATTTTGTGAGATACAGCTGAAGCTATGCCCAGAGGGAAATTTATATATACATACATAGATTGGTCCTGAGCTAATATCTGCTGCCAGTCTTCGTCTTTTTGCTTGAGGAAGTTGTCGCTGAGCTAACGTCTGTGCCAGTCTTTGTCTGTTTTGTACGTGGGACACTGCCACAGTGGGGCTTCATCAGCAGTACTAGGTCTGCACCTGGGATCTGAGTGTGAACCCGAAGCCGCTGAAGCAGAGTGTGCAAACTTAACTACTACGCCACCAGGCTGACCACTATATTTAGGTCTTTTCATCATCAGTTTTTATAGCTGAAGGTTTGATTTTATTTGTAACAGTCAAATTTTAGCTCTGTGATTATTGTGCTTTTATAAAGTGAAAAATCTCACCCTTCCTTTAGTGTTTAGTTAATTGGTGGTTTCTCAGCCTTTATCCTGTTAGGTAATAGCAACTGGTTTCCACTAGATGGAGGTGGTGGATAGCTGTGTATGTTAGAATACTGAGTCTGTTGCTGTCTAACTCTCTGATAAGGCTGATATAAAACTTTTAGTTTGTGTTTAGTTTAGTTTAGCTTTTTGAAAAAAAATGCCTTTTACAAAAGGTTTGAACTGTAATTGTTATAACTAGCTACTTAGCGATTCCTTATTCATGCTAATTTTGTTTTTCTTCTTTGTTTAAGACCAGCTAGTTTACTACATACTGAGCTTGCTTGGTATTGCTATCAATAGAGTAATCATTGAGAGATAGCATTTAAATTTAATTTTAATATATTGGAGGTTATTTTTAAATATAGGACATACTTCTGCACACTGTAGGATCTGCCTTAGAATAGCTGGCTGTCCAGTGAGCGCTGACTCTCAGCAGAGCCCTGAGCTGGGCTCCTTACATGGCTTGTTCCAGGTATGTGTGCAGACGATAACAATACCAGCCACAACACATTAAAACCATATTGTAGAACCCTCAAAAATTAATATTTTTTTATGAAGATTAGTTAAAATAAAGTGTGGTATTTAATGGGCCTTAAGATATTAGTAAGATTTTGAGTAGGGCATGCTAGAAGGGAGTGTAAAATAAGCAAGAGCATAGAGGTAATAAATTATGAAATTTGGGGAAAAGCAAATGGTGAAGTTTGGCTCTATGTCTCAGGATTGTAGGAGACAAGGGAGGATAGGTGGGAAGACAAGAGCTTTGTTTTTATTTGATGGATAAGGGAGATAGTAGGCAACATTGATGGTTTTGTTGAAGAGAAATATGCAACTGTGGCTGTATTAGGAGAATTTGCTTGGGAGCTGATTTCTGGGATATATGATATAAGGAGACGGGTCACAGAGCAAGACCCCTTGGGAAACTCTGAATTAAATTGCTGAGTGAGGGAAAATTTTATCCTTGGATGGGGTAAATCCATTTATCAGGAGAACAAGGGAGATTAGTCACATGGCAAGCCAAGATGGTCTGTATCTTGAAAGTCAAGGGAAAACAAGGAAAGAGAAACATTTTAAAATGCAAGAGGTGGGCGATGGAATTATTGTACAAAGAAATCAAAATGAAGCCTGAGACAAGGCATTTGGATTTGTCAGTTGTGAAATAATTGATAACCTTTGAGAATGAAATTTCAGTAACTTGCGCGTGAGAGCAAGTTGTAGACTTGGTGGAAGATCACCATTTTCTCAGAATGTAAGGCAGAGAAAAGAAAGTGGAGGAAATCCAGTAGGTGGCCTGGGTTTTGTGTTTTAGGTGGTGGCTTTATAGTGTATTTCTGGACAGAGCAGAAGTAAACTGAAGCTTGTAATAGAGTTGAGACCTGAAAGGGATAGAGGGGTTCTTTTAAGAACATGGGTTGAAGTACTGGTTTTAGTAGAAAGAATATGTACTTCTTCAGGGATGAAAATAAATGAAGAGAATTTAAAAATGAGCTATTAATTAGAAGAGGAAAACAGACTAAATATTACTCATGTGGATGAATGCCTTAGGCTTTCTTAGCTGTTCTTCATTCTTTTTGTTCATTTGACTTGATAATTTCAAATGACCAGTCTGAGTTCGCTAATTCTCCTGATTGGTCAAGTCTGATGCTGAACCCCTCCAGTGAATTTTTTTTTTTAAGATTGGCACCTGAGCTAACGTATGTTGCTAATCTTCTTTTTTTTCCCCCCTCCTTCTCCCCAAAGCCCCCCAGTACATAGTTGTATATTCTAGTTGTGAGTGCCTCTGGTTGTGCTGTGTGGGATGCTGCCTCAGCATGGCTTGATGAGCGGTGCTGGGTTTGCACTGAGGATCCGAACCAGTGAAACCCTGGGCCGCTGAAGCAGATCATGTGAACTTAACCACTTGGCCATGGGCCTGCCCCTGAATTTTTCAGTCAGTTATTATATTTTTTAACTCCGAGATTTCTGTTTGGTTCGTTTTTATAGTTTTTCTCTCTTTGTTGATATTCTCATATGGTTCATGCATCATTTTCCTAATTTTGTGTTGTTGTTTAACTGTGCTCTCTGGTAATGCATTGAGCCTCTTTAAAAGGATCATTTTGAATTTTTCAGGTAATTATAGATCTTTGTTTCTTTAGAGTCAGTTTTTGGGATTCACTTTGTTCCTTTGATTGGGCCATTTTCCTTTTGTCTTTGTGTGTCTTGGTAATTTCTGCTATGTTTTCTGCATTTTAATCAACAGCCGAGGGGCCAGCCCTGTGGCTGAGTGGTTAAGTTGTGCTCCACTTCAGCAGTCCAGGCTTTCACTGGTTTGGATCCTGGGCGCAGAGCTAGCACTGCTCATCAAGCCATGCCGAGGTAGCGTCCCACATACCACAACTAGAAGGACCTACAACTAGAATATATAGCTCTGCAGTGGGGGTTTTTGGGGAGAGGGAAAAAAAGTAAGATTGGTAACAGATCTTAACTCAGGGCTAATCTTTGAAAAAAAAACCCCAAAAAACCAAAACAGCCAACTCTCCCAATCTTCCCTGGCTTTGAGGAGGGCAAGATCTTCACCAGTCAACTTGAGATTGTAGGCATTCCTTGAATGTTTTCTTTGGATGCATGGTCTCTGGGCTTGTGTGTGATTTCCTGGTAGAGAGGTTTGCTGGTTTCTCTTTCAGGAGCGTATAATCTCTTGTTGTCTCTAGTGTCCGTCTGCTGTACCACAAGTTCTCTGTTGCTACAACGAGCCACTGACCTCTCTTTTGATCTGTGTGGTGCCCAGGCTTCCAAAGTTTGCTGGTTCCTCATCAGCACTCTGAGTCAGTTGAGACTGAAACCTGTGCCTCGGGCAGCCTCCTAAAAGCCAGAACATCGGATGCCTGTTGCACTCTTCTTTTTCCCTACAAGGGAGAAGTTGAGATCTGGGTGCTTTCTCCTGATTGCGCTGAGCTGAGCCAGCCTCTTTCTGTGCTACTGCTGACTCTGTGGTGCTACAATAAACACTGAGCTCTTGTTTGTTCTCCATGGCCACCGTGCATCCATGCCAGTTCCATCAGTGTTCCCAGTCAGGTGAGACAAATCAGTCCCTCAGGCAGCCCCGCTACCCCCAGAAAGTTGGAACATTGGACACACTTTCACTACTCTCTTTTCAGCCCAAGGGAGAAGTTGTGAGCTTTTCTCCTGATCCCACTGAGCTCTGCTGGCTTGGGAGAATGGCTATTGCTGTAGATATGAGGTGGCTTTTCTTATTGTTTCGGTGCAGCTGTTTTTGACTTTGAGCTTGCCTGGGCTGCTGTGACTTCTTACTTGGTTTCTAGGGTTCTCAATGCTTTTTGGACAGTATATTCTTAAGTTGGTGTCTCTGTGGTGGAACAAGGTCTAGGGTTTCCTATGCCATCACTTTGCTGGCACCATTTCCTGTACGTTATTTCCTTTTATGGCCAAATAACATTCCATTGTATGGCTGTACCACCTTTTGTTTAGCCAGTTGAAAGTTGATGGACATTTATTTGTAAATAATGCCATTATGATCATTTTTGAACAAGTTATTGTGTGGACATATGCTTCCGATTCTCTTGTGTTTATGCCTAGACAGTGAATTGGCAACTCTGTGTTAAACATTTTGAGATAACTGTCAACCTGTTTCCCAAAGTGGCTGTACTATTTTACAGTCTCTTCAGCATTGTATGAAGATAATCAGTTTCTCTATGTCTTTATCAACACATTTTATTTGTTTTTTTATATTAGCAATCCTGATGGGTATCAGACTGTATTTCTGTGGTTTTGATTTGTGTTTCCCTAGCTATTGATTCCATGCGTCATTTCTTAGGCCTTTTGGGCATTTGTATATCTTCTTTGGAGAAATATCTGTTCAGATCCTTTGCCTGTTTTTTAGTTGGATTATTTGTCTTTTTATTATTGAGTTGTAAGATTTATTCTGACTTTGGACTAATTTTTACTCATAAAATTGTGGGTTTTTGTTGGTGTCGTGTAGTTTATGAACATCTCTAGGAAGAGTATGAATTCACATCTCTAACCTTTAGTTGTTTCTGCTATTGGGAAAATTTTCAAAGGCAATCAGTGCCACAATCTCTTTCTATCAAAGTCAGCTGGGGAAAGGATGGATCGTCTTCTTTTTTAACCTTTGAAAGCTGCACAAGCTTTGCAGATAGACTTTGTATTATAAAAGGCAGCTCTTACTAGTTAGAGAGTTGATATATTTTGTTTGTTTAAACGGAGTGAGTTCTGAAGGCCCATCTGCCTCTTCCTCTTCACTTTTTCCTTGGCCATTTTGGGATATCAAGTTAAGGAACAGAGCTGATTTCTTCCTTGTCACTTTCTTACAAGATAGTAAAGTGAGCAGTTGGATACTTCAAAAAGAGCACACTCACGTCGGCTTCATGGCTGTAGTCAGTGAAGGTGGAGCTATTTCATGTTGAAATTGGCACTGAAAAGCCAATTTTACATAGCTGATTTCACTCAAGTTTTCTATTTGGCTATTTCTTGGGTTTCAAGGGGCTTCATTGGTTCCTTCTTAGTACTAGAAACAACTTTTCTAAGCTAAATTTAGACTACCAAAGAGACATATCGTAACAAGTGCTAAAATGTAGATGTAATTCAACTATAATACAAACTCTAAGAATCGTCTGATTCTATAAATTTACACCTACCTTTGGTAAGGAAACTTCAAGTAAAAATCTACCTTATGTGATCATATTGCTTACACTGTTATTGAGAGAGCTGATTTAACAGGAGGCCATTAAAGAATAGTAAAAATAGTAATGAAAGCTTTGATGTAGCACTGTAAAGTGCTATAGCATACCAGAAAAGGTGAATCTGGAGAAAGAAGAGTAGTTGATAAAACTTTCATCCAGGAGATGAAGCCTACCTTGAAAGCTGTGTAGTAATTGCAAAACCTCACAAAAAAGGGAGGGGAGGTTCTGCATGGGCAATTAGGCAGTAAGGAATATAGTGATCATGATTTGGGTGGAACTGGAGACAAATTGATGGAGGGGTGGGAAGGAGAGTATTTTACTGCAGTGGACAGTTGGTTTTGTCAAGTGATGGACAATGGGCCTAGAATCTAGTAAGTCTGAATAGATGGCTGAAAAAATGCCCCTTCATATGGTAGATAACATTCAATTATGAGAAAACTTTTTGGGAGAGGGCTTATTAGCAAACCAAAAACTCTTAAGTAAAAATTGTCTAAATAACAGTTTATTTATTTATTTTGTCAACTTGACTAAAATTTTTTCTTTTTCCCTTTCAGAAGAATGGTTGAGACCAGTGATGAGAAAAGACAAGCAGGTGTTAGTGCATTGGGGGTTTTACCCAGACAGGTAATGCTAATGTGTCCTGAGATCTGGTATAAAGATTTCAGTCAGTGCAAGTCAGGGTTGTTTATATATATATAGTTTCACTTTCTGAATAGTGATCACTTTGTTGATTTGTTTTAGTCATTGATCTCACTTTTTTAAGTCTTCTCTTACTGACCGTTTTCTTAGGTTATGGTTTCATTACTAAACTGATATGTTTGCTGCATTTTCCAAAACAGTCCTTCAGTATGGTATTAGACTATTGATTTAGATTTGTTTCCTTTAAGAAGTGAATTTTTCTCCCTAGTGTTTCACGACTAGTTAGTTTTGTTTGTTGTTTCAGAAACTACTCATGCCACACTATTAAGGATGAAATTATTTTATGTCAAAATGAAGTTTTTATTCTTGGCAGAAATTTCATTCCCTAGTGATGGTGTTACTTTTATCTTTCATAACTCATACTGTGTTTCAGTATCTAAATATGAGTAAAGAATGTTACAAACAGGAATGACATGTTAGTGAAAAGGGTGGTCCTTGTTTAATTAATATTATGCCTGCATAGGGCACTTAGGAATAAGGATAACACTTCATCTTCCTTAATCGACAATAGAGCTCTCTAGGTGTTCGTTTCACCATTGTCCTGTCAACTGGAGGTTCTCTCCACTTTGTGTTTCAGACCAGTCTTCTTTCACCTGTACCCACATCCACTTCTAGCCTTCTCCTATTATTGGAAGCTAATCCCAAATATATCATTTCAGTATTGTAATAATAAATATTTTAATATGTATTTCCAAAAGATGACTCATTCTTTCAAAAACGAAGTAAGCATAACACCATTATCAAACCTAAAAAATTAACAAAATTTCTTAATATCAAATACCCAGTGTTGTCATGTGATACATTTGATTGATTGATTGATGGATGGATATTCATTGGAATTAAATGAATTCTGTAATGAATTCCAGTAAGGAATTCAACCACATCTTGCAATTAGTTCATATATTTCTTAAATATTTTTCAGTTTATAGGTTCTCCCTCTGTCTTCCCCACTTCCCCCTTGCAGTGTATTATTTAAGGAACCACGTTGTTTGTCCTGTAGTTTACCATATTCTGGGTTTTTTCTATGGTATCACTGTGGTGTATTTGAACATGTTTCTCTGTTCTATTTCCTTTAAATTGATCTAGAGTTAATCAGAAACCATTTCAGTTTAGGGAAGTAACAAGACTGTTGCATAGGTTTATGTTCTTCATCAGGAGACATATAATGTCTTGGTTTTGTGCTGTTTTTAAGTTAATCTATTTGAATAACTTTATTTTACTTATAAATATATTTTTTAAAGGGAATATATGTCTTTAGATTATGTTCATAATTTTAATAGAATATGCGCAGTCTTTGTACAGATTGAGTTAATCAGAACCAAATCAAATCAACTTGCTTATCAGCCTCTTCTGAGCCGTAATTGACCACTTTAAATTGAACTAATAGTTTTTTTTGTAATAACATTTAGATAAATGCTTGCTTTTTTTTCTTTTTTGAGAAAGATTAGCCCTGAGTTAACATCTGCCACCCATCCTCTTTTTGCTGAGGAAGATTGGCTCTGGGCTAACATCTGTGCCCATCTTCCTCTGTTTTATGTGTGAGATGGCTGCCACAGCATGGCTTGATAAGCAGTGCTTGGGTCCCTGCCTGGATCTGAACCGGTGAACCCCAGGTCGCCCAAGTGGAGTGCACGAACTTAACTGCTACACCACTGGGCCAGCCCCTTAAATAAATGCCTCCTATAAAACATTTCTAGTCTCAAGGCTTCATGTAGTCCTTGGTGCTATTAAAACAGACCTTTCAATATTACAGGAACTGTTATAGGAAATCAGTTTTGAAACACTTAGATGGAAACTCAAATTTATGATAAACTACAAAAGTACAGGCTTGAAATAAATTTTATAACAACACATTATAAGACATGTTAGCCTGTTTGCTAACCTTTTCTTTATGTATCAAATAGCATATAGTGGCTAGATCTAGTCTTGTCTTCTCAAGGGGCCTTGTTAGTTCCCTTTCTTTATTGACTATAGTTTACGTATATTCTTCTACCTATGTAACGTTTTCTACTCGAGACTTTTAAAGACTATAAGGTTATCAGTTTTTCTTACCATTGTAATCTTTACCTGGTATAGTTAAGTAATTGGCAAATGAACTTTTTTTCTCCAGCTCACATTCAAGTGTTCCTAGAAAACTTACCAAAGTGCTGTTAATAGATATGTAGAGCTGTGCTTGTTCTAAATGCTTTTGAACTGACTTCTGAGTAGTGGCTAAAGGAAGCCATTGCTTGTTACCATACTTGTATTTAATGTAGATATTGCTGGATTTTATAATAATTTATTGGCAAGTACAGCAGCATTGATAAAGTTTTAATTTGGTAGGTAATTTTATACTTCAGAATTGTAGAGGAATAGAGGATGTGATTTATTTAAGTGAGTTGGGTCTCACTAATAAGAGAACCTTTAAGCAAAGAGATGTGACGGTATGAGAGCGTATGCTGTATGGCTATCTGGGTAGTGAGGAGCATATGTAAAGGGCCTGAAGTGGCCACTGCCTGGCATATTTAAAAGACCACTGAAGCTCTTGTGGCTCAAATATAACATGAGTGAGGAGAGGGTGCTAGGAGACGGGGTCAGAGTGGCATTCAGAGGACCAGATTTCGAGGGTTGGCAGCCACTGTAATGATTTTGACTGCTATTCTGAGTTAGGTGGGAGTCATAGGAAGATTTTGAGCAGTGCAGTGATGTAGACTGACGTAGTTTTCAAAAGGATCCTTCTGGTTGCTGTGTGAAAAATTGACTTTTGGGATTTGGGCAGAAGTGGAAGGGTGAAAGGTAGGTAGATAGATTCTGGAAATATTTTGAAGGTGGAGCTGGTGGAAGTTGTTGGTGATTTGATTATAGGATGTAATTGAGAGTGAAGTCAGGGATGTTTCCAAGGATTTTGGTCAGAACAGCTGGGAAGATGGAGTTGGCATTTACTGAGATGGGGATGATTGGCTAGAGCACCTTGCTGGGGTCAGGATGGCATTCTATGTTGAATTTTGAGTGTGTTAAGTTTGAAAACCTAATTAGACATGTAAGAGATGTGGAATTGGCAGTTGGATTTGAGTCCAGAATTCTGAGAAGAGGGCAGATATAAGATTTCAAGTCGTATGTGTATAGTAGAAGCCATGGTGTTGCATGAGATTATCAAGAGAGTGAATAGCTAAGAGGATTCTTCCAAAAACTGAAACGTTGGGGCTTTCCAATGTTGAAGAGGTTTGAGAAAAGAGGAGAAACTGTCACTGGAGACTGAGGAGAGGCTGGCAACCAGAAGGAATACCAGATAATACTGTCTTAGAGGCCAAGTAAGGGAAATGCTTTGAGGAGAGAGTGATTGACTCATTAAAATTCTGTTGACTGAGGCTTGAACTTTGGCTTTAACAATGTGAAGATCACTGTAGACCTCTGCAGAAGAGTTTTCTTGTCAGAGTGGTAGAGACAAAAGTGTATGATAAATTGCTAATACTGGATCCTAATACTATTTCTAAAATGCACTTTTACCTTTTGATGAAAGTCTTTTTAGTAAATGAATTTGAATTCTAATTTGTTTTTCCTTTTTTCGTTTCCTTTATAGCTATGATACTTGGGTCCATAGTAATGATGTTGATGCAGAAATTGAAGATCCACCAATTCCAGAAAAGCCATGGAAGGTGAAACATCCTTTAAAAAAAAAACTTATTCTTACATAACTTAATAGAACTTCTCAACTGTTCTCCACACGAAGTTTTAAAGAGATACAGAATGTTGATCTTCCTTTCTTGTCCTCCTGTTAAGAGATGGCCATGGCCATGAATACTTCCTTATCCAGATGAAATGTTTGCAGTGATGTTTGAGGAGACCCCAAAGCCAACTTAGATTGTAGCTTGAGATAGTTAAGGAAGGGGTGTGAGGAGTGCAGCTGAACATCATTGATGGTGTCATTTAGGAAGGCTGCAAGCAGGGCCTGCGTGGTTTTTATTATGATAGACTTACTTTACTAATCATTTCTATTGTAATGGTAAAAGTCCACACAACAGCTCTTCTGTTCTTCAACTTTTAATGTGGAAATAATTTTGAAAGTTGCAAGAGTAATACTAAACAAAGTACTACTTTATACTCCTTTCAACTTCCCCTGTTGTTATTTATTTCAGGAAATTAATTTTTGAAACAATATTATAATCTGATACAGGGCCCATATTCCATCTCTACCAGTTGTCCCAATGATATAGTAAGTTTTATACTCAGTTTTTTCTCTTATCCAAGATCCGGTTCAGAATCACACACTGCATTTAGTTGTCAGATCTCTTTAGTCTACTTTAATCTGGAACTTTCAGCCTTTCTTCTTCTTTCATGACACTGGCATTTTGAAATGTACAGGCCAGTTTTTTTTTTAGCAATGTCTCCGAATTTGAGTTTGCGTATTTTTTATTATTATATTGGATAGCTATGTATTTTGGTTGCAGTACTGCTTACGCAGTATCCTGTCCGCTTTAGTGCATTGCATCAGGAGGCACATGTCCGTCTTCCTCATTGTGGCTGATAGCCTGGTCATTTGTTAAGGTGCTATCTGCCTAGTTTTCCCACTGGAACCATTTTTCTCATTGGAATTAAAAATACTTTATAGGGAAATACTTTGAGACTGTGTAACTGTTATTTTCTTGTTAAATTTATATCCCAAAGTTTGCTCATCCATTAATAATTCCTGCCTGATTGAATTAGTTATTACTGGTGCTTTTCTAACTCTATCCATTTCTTCTATCCTTGTAGTCGACATTTTGCAGTGGGGATAAGCATTCCCTTCTCCCTTTACATGTGTCTGTGGTATCAGTCTGCACTCATGGAACAGTGACATCACTACCATTCTTCATTTTGATGAATTGTCCAAAATTTGTCCACTAGGAAACTGTGCTGCCTCCTGTGACCCTTTGGCATTATTTGATCCTTTTTTGCGTACTTCCTACTTTCTGGTACAGATGTTCCAAACTTTTTTTGTAATTTCCCTATCCCAGTCGTGGAATCAGCCTGAGCTCTGGTCCTTTCCATGAGCAGTGGCAATTATACACGATTTTAATTGACTCTTTTATGTGGTATAATGAGCACTTAAGTTAATATGTTAGATTTTAGACCTAGTTCAGTCTATTTCTAATTGTGTGACCTTCGGAAAGACTGAGCTTTTGAGCTTCAGATTCTATGTGAAGAAAATGAGATTAACAAAAATTAGTCTTTTTTTTAAGTAACTTTTTATTTGGAAATAATTTCCATCTTACAGAAAAGTTGCAAGAATAATAGTCGTATATGCTATACCTGTACACTCTTTATTCATATTTGCCTATTGTTAACATTTTACTCCCTTTTTGATGTATCATTTATACTCTGTGTTTGTTTCCCCCCCCCCCAAACCATTTGAGATACAGATGCATATATCATGGGCCTTTACTCCTAAAAGTAAGTGCCTGTTTCCTAAGAATAAGAATTCTCATACATGAGCATAGTACAGTTATCAAATTCAGTAAATTAAACGTTGACACAATCCTTTAATCTACTGTCCATATTCTGGTTTTGCCACTTGACCCAATGTCGTTTTTTATAACATTTTTCTCTTTATTATAGAATCTCATCTAATATCACTGTTGAATTCATATGTCATATCTCTTTAGTTTCCTTTAACCTGGAACATTATCACTGTGTTTCCTTGCCTTTTATCATGTTTTTGAATTTCTCATTTGGAATTTCTCATGGTTAATTCTTATATTCATTCTAGTCAGAAAACTGCCTAAGTGACATTGTGTCCTTCTCAGGGCATCACATTGGGAGGCGTGCTGTGTCCATCTGCTCCTTGTTGGTGACGTCAATCACCTGTTAAGGTGACTCGGATGGCTCTGCTGTGTAGTTACTTTTTTTACCATACTTGCAACTTACAAGCAATCTGTGAGAGATTCTTTTACACCATGCAGATATTCTACTTCTCATCAGAGTCTTCCTTCTCTTGCTCAGATTTAGCATCCACTTAACAGTCCTTGCCTAAACCAGTTTTTTTCTTTCATTGTTGTGCAGTGATCGTTTTCCGCTCCAACCCTCCCTCCACATTACCAGTTGGCTTTCAGAGTTCTCCGATAAGCAAGAGCCCTTCCTTTGCCCCCATCTACTTATTCATCTATTTGTTGTTAGTATGGATTCGTGTTCTAGTTTCAGTGGTCAGTAAAATTTGTTACTTAATTATTTTGGTGCTGAAATAGTTCCATATTTGGCCAATAGGAGCCCCTCCAAACTGGCTTGTGACAAGCACTCCTCATTCTTGAGTACCTCTTTGAGGGCATAGCAGGATGTTCCAGGCTCCTCTTCTGCCTTCCCTTCCTCATACCTAGAATTCAGGTGTTTCTCCTCGGAGCTCTCATTCCTTTTATTAGGAAAAGGTATTAGACACCAAGTCTGGGTACAAGTATGTTGATTGCTACTGAAGTGTCTTTGCTTCTAGGCCCTTTCTGCCCAGAGAAATAAGAAGTAGAGCTATTATGTGTGTATAAACACAAACATATTCATGTACTCATATACTTATTTTAGAAATAATGAGACCATATAGATACCTCCAGTTCTAATCCATCCCACAGTGTTCCTTTTTGCCCTCCCCTCTTCCATATTCATATCTGTCTTCTCCCAGAGTAAAAACCTTGGCTCCCAACAACACATTTACTCAGTCCATTACTACATTTAAATTAGTTTCAGAATTGCATTGCCCACCCGCTACAATAAACAAAAATACTAAGAGTGCAAGATATGTTTGTAGTTCTCTCTCTGGCCCTGTCCTGCCCAAGTCTGAGGGTACAATTGGTAAATAGTGTGTTAATGAGTTAGTTAGATTAACTCTTCCACCATCTTCAGTGAGGTTGTTACTTAATTCAACTGCAGTTGGGTTTCTTTCTTTCAGTTTATTTTCAGTTTAAGTGTTTCCTCTCTCTCTTCAAATTCAGATTGATTTAATTTTATATTTTGAATATGTAGAATTCTAACATGCTTCCCCAAAAAGGTATACTTCCTCTTATATTCTTTCTACCTCCTTCCCCTCATTCCTTGTAGAACAAATTTATTATTTTCTGGTTTATCCTTTCTGTGTTTGCTTTTGTCAAGGTATGCAGGAGTTTGCATGTTTTTTTATTTCTCTCTTGTATACTTGGCTTTTTCCACTTAATAATCTCTCCTAGAAATCCCTAGTGTTCATACCGGCACAATCCTCCATTATGTATATACACTGTAGTTTAGTCCTCCAGTTTTTTATGCTTAGAAATTTGAGTAGTTTGCATTATTTTGGAATTACAGACAAAACTGCAATAAATAACCTTGTGCCATATGTATTGTCATATTGTTTAAGGTGTATAGTCAAGATAAATTTCTAGAATTAGGGTTGCTGGGTTGAAGAGTAAATGAAAATACATAGTTAGATTCGTGCCTCTCTCCCCTGGGAGTTTGTACCCTTTTTGCATTCCTGTAAGCAATGAAGTGAGTGTCTCTTCCCTGATAGCCTAACCAACAGAGCGGATATTGTGAAGCCTTTGAATTTTTGCCAATGAGAAATGGTATCTCTGTTGATTTTAATTTGTATTTCTCTTCTTTTGAGTGAAGTTGAACATCTTTTATGTTTGCAAGAGTTCTTTTTATGGTTTTTGTGACCTGTGTATCTTTCTCTCATTTTTTCTGTAAGGATTTTTCTTTTGTCTCCTAGAGTTTTAGAGGTTCTTTTTAAATGTTGAGAATGTTAGCCATTAATATGAGACGTATATTGCAAATATTTAGTTGTGTTTTTGACTTTAGTTATGGTGTTTTTTTGCCATGCCAAGGTTTATTATTTTTATATAGTCAGATTTCTTCTTCTTTACCTTTTAATGCATCAATATTTTAGTCAGAATAGTAAAGCCTGTCTCTGCCTCTGGTTGTTGAGGAATTAGCCACTGTTTTCTTCTAGCAGTTGTATAGTTTCACTTTCTACATATAGATCTCTAATCCATTTTGAGTTTATTCTTATGTGATAAAAGGAATGGATCTCATTGTGTCTTTTCGAAATGGCTTCCCAGTTGTGTGTAAATGGATACATTCTGTATCCATTTATTATAAAGGCCGCCTTTGCCTCAGTGATTTGAGATACCACCTTTACTATATACTAGGTTTCTCTATGTAGATGAGTTAAATGTGTTCTCTTAATATTACGTATCTAATTTTTCATTTTTAGCTGCTAAGTAGTTCATCTATCCTTCTTTCTTCTTTTCTCCATTAAACTTTTTAGGTTGCTACTACTTAAAACTAATCCCAGATAGAATAGTTTGTTTTTCCTTTAGTTAGGAGGAATATTACTCTGCCACATATACCCACACACATGTTATAGTTTATAGATGAAAAATATGTTTTGTCTTGATTTTCATGGCATTCATGTCCTAAAAGTATTATCTCATTTTATAGATACTCCTAAAAACCTCAGTACCTGTTCCTGCTATAAAGAGAAGTCTGTTTAAATGTAGCTTCTAGATTTTTCATTAGGGCTATTTTAAATTTATTTCTAACAAAGAAAGGCCAGACTTTTAGAATTTTTATTTAATTTTTATTTAATATGTAGACTAAAGAATTTTTTTTTAACTGTTCCCTCTTTTCTCCATGTAAAGTTGGCTTTTGAGTTACAAATAAG